ATGTCTTGATAAATATTTTCGGTCTCAATTTCTATGATTAATGAATCTGTATCAGTATATAGGAGTTTTACTTTATCTCCGTATTTCTTTTTGAGATAACTATACCAAAAGTCATATATATAATATTTAGAAAGATCAAGAATACATGATCTTACATATTCCGGCTTATTTAGTTTTACATTAGTCTGCCTTTGGTATACAGCTACTAAGTTCGCCCTATAGAAGATTTTTCTACTAACAAATGCAGGATCTGAAATTAGTCTTCGTAGTCTGTGTTCTTCACCTACCTGACAAACCAAATCTATATTCACTCGCTTTCTCACATCCTCCATAGTTTTTCCAAATACTTAATTATTCATCAATTTCCAGAAGTCTTTTTCGAAAGCATTTTTCACTTTTGCTCGTCGTTGTGTATTCATTGCTATATAGGGTTCTATTCAAGGAGATTGTTCAAAACCTAAAACTCTGTATACTTTTTCTAGAACATACCCTCTCTTATACACTGCTGTAGATTTCTATAATAAATAATATAATGGTCTTTATCTTGTAGAGTTAGTATAAGTTTTTCTGTATCAGGACGTTGTTTTCCTATCCATTCTTTTTGCTTTGATCCATACCAATCATATGGTACTTTCATTCATTCTAGACACATTGGATAGTCTCGAAATTTGGGATGCAATTCTTTTGGAATCGATAACTTTACTTCTAAACAACATCCTCGATTTGATTTTTCTTTTAGTAATAAAATTTTCTGCATTAATGGGGAAGTTGCTTCGAGGGGTTTTGTTGATAGCCATTTAAATCCTCCGGTTGGTAAATATTGACTCATTGCCCAACCATATAGATTATTGGCATCTAGATACAAAAGCTACTTTTTCGATTTTTTTCCATCATATCCCTCTAATCCTGAAATATTTGCTCTAGCTATATGACGTCTAGCTAAAGACATTCCTCCCCTTTTTATTGCTGTAAAGAAATCATGCATATCTCTTTGGTGTTCATGAAATAATTCTAGCTTAACTTTAGTTACCTTCATACATGTGTCCCATGCTAGACCTGGTGCGGTTAAATAATTTGCTGTGTCGCGCTTGAATGCTGAATATGAGGCTTTACGGAATGCCTCGAATGTATCTGCTAAAATTAATACATCAGTTTTAAGATAGATATCGTGATAATCTCCAAAAGTTTTGTATTCTGTTTCTCGCCAGACCATATGTGCAAAATCATAATCCTTTTGAGATATGGTATTAATTTTTTCGTGTTCACATTCTTTATTTTCTTCATATTCATTGCAATTACTTGGTTTTTTTTTATGCTTACATTTCTGACATTTATGTTTGCATTTCCCTATCTTCTCTCCATACTCACATTTTTTTATTCTACAATTATGATCACAGTAATTAAACCCATCTAAATCACTATTAAAATCTTTACGTGATGGGAGCTGTGTCTCATTAAATTTTGTTTTATTATTTAACCATTTATACGGAAAAATTCCTTTACACGTAATCAATGATAACAAATGAGGTGAGATGAATTTTGACATAATTGGAAAACATTTGGCTAGTTGTTCTGGTGTTTTATTTTTCTCTTTTTTTTCATCTCGTAAATTTTCTGCCATCTTAGCTAAACCCGGTAACGAAAATTTCATACTATCAATAAATTGAAG